CAGCGACCTTAGAAGGCTTGCTGAGTGTGGACACCCCTGTCCTCCACTGCTCGTCAGAGTGCGTGAATAGGCTGAACCAAGGCCTTAGAGGCCTGCTGAGTGTGACACCTTCCCTCCTCCTCTCAATGTGGAATAGCCCGAGCCCAGGACCTTAAGAGGGACCCCGAGTTGGGGACACCTGGTCCTCCTGTCCTCCTCCTCTCAGTGTGAATAGCTGAGCCAGGACTTAGAGGCTCTGAGTGTGACACCATGTCCTCCTCCTCTCAGTGTGAATAGCTGAGCCAGGACTTAGAGGCTCTGAGTGTGACGCCCTGTTCTCCTCCTCTCAGTGTGAATAGCTGAGTGAGGACTTAGAGGGACCGAGTGTAACACCCTCTCCTCCTCCTCTCAGTGTGAATAGCTGAGTGAGGACTTAGAGGGACCGAGTGTGACGCCCTGTCTTCTCTCTTCCTCCTCTCAGTGCCATGGCTTGGGGTGGACGCTGCTTCACACTTCTGCATGGTGGCCCAGACACAGTGGGTTTCATTTTCTTTTCTTATTTTTTCTTTTTTCTGGTGGCTACAAAAGTGAACTTTTTTTTTTTTTTTCTTTTTCTTGAGACAGAGTTTCGCTCTTGTTGCCCAGGCTGGAGTGCAATGGCGTGATCTCAGCTCACTGCAACCTCCACCTCCTGGGTTCAAGCGATTTTTCTGCCTCAGCCTCCTGAGTAGCTGGGATTACAGGCATGTGCCACCATGCCTGGATTATTTTGTATTTTTAGTAGAGACGGGGTTTCTTCATGTTGGTCACCTGGTCTCGAACTCCCAACCTCACGTGATCCGCCCGCCTCAGCTTCCCAAAGTGCTGGGATTATAAGGCGTGAGCTACTGCACCCAGCCCTGTTTTGTCCATTTTCTTGAGACATCTTAAATAAATGAACTTACAACTTCGGGAAGCCACGCTAGCAGACAGGACCACGGTGCTTCCTGTGATGGGGCCATCTCCTAGAGTCCAGCAGACCAGACCTTTGCAAGAAAAACACTGAAGAGATAGAGGAGGAAAGGTTAAAAGCCTGATATTCACTCCAGAGGCGTCTTTTTTTTTTTTTTTTTTTTGATGAGTCTTGCTCTGTCACCCAGGCTGGAGTGCAGTGGCAGGATCTCAGCTCATTGCAACCTCTACCTCCCAGGTTCAAGCAATTCTCCTGCCTTAGTCTCCCAAGTGGTTGGAATTACAGGTGCGCACCAGCACGCCTGGCTAATTTTTGTGTTTTTAGTAGAGATGGGGTTTCGCCATATTGGCCAGACTGGTTTTGAACTCCTGACCTCAAGTGATCCACCCTCCTTGGCCTCCCAAAGTGCTGGGATTACAGACGTAAGCCACCATGCCCAGCTAAGTTTTGTGTTTTTTATAGAGACAGGATCTCGCTATGTTGCCCAGGCTGGTCCTGAACACCTGGTCTCAAGAAATTCGCCCAGTCAGCTTCCCAGAGTCTGGGACTCTAGGCATGAGCCCCTGCTCTTGGCCCCCAGGCCAGTAATGAAAAACAAGATATCATCCCTTTCAGAGCATCAGGACGGCGGTTGTGCTCAGGGAGGCTGGGAACGGGCATCGTGCCCTCTGGGAGTGCGGCAGGCTCACTTGACTGGAAGAGATTTTCATGGTGCCGCTGCCCCCTGCTGTCCTGCTGACCACTCTGCTCTCCTGCTGACCCCTCTGCTGCCTACTGACCCCTCTGCTGCCTACTGACCCCTCTGCTGCCCTGCTGACACCCCTGCTCTCCTGCTGACCGGTCGCTCTGCTGCCTGCTGACCTCTCTGCTGCCCTGCTGACCCCTCTGCTGCCTACTGACCCCTCTGCTGCCCTGCTGACCCCCCTGCTCTCCTGCTGACAGCCCTGCTGCCCTGCTGAGGGCTCACCTGGTGAACAGTCATGGGCTCTTGCAGACGTGGTTGCCCGTGCGCATGCCGTGTGCATGCAGCCATTCTAACAAAGGTGATGGTCACTTGGACCATTGTGGTGACATGATGGCTACAGCACCCAGGCCGGAGCAAGGCTGCTGGGGTCTGGTGAGATGATGGCTCTGAATCAGACGCGGAGATTCCGTTGAGATCAGCCCCACAGGCATCTTACGAGAGCTCGGAGGGGAGGCCCATCCTACCAGGACTTCTGTGTCTCTTCAGCCTGTGTCCCTTCAGCCGGCGGCGACAGCAGCACAGAGCAGCCTCCGGGAGCCTAGGGGTGTGGACTGGGACGGGCGGGAGTTGGAAGTCGGCGAGGGGAGGAAGGTGGTTGCATGTTGGCCTCCTCCTGCCCTGTAGGAAGGACCGAATGGTTCCCCCAACAGTAGGATGAAAGTGAGTTTTCGTGGCCACTGCAGAATGGGAGGAAGGCTTTACGCTGGGGTGTCCAATCTTTTCTCTTCCCTGGGCCACACTGGAAGAAGAGGAATTGTCTTGGGCCACACATTAAAAATCTCATCTTTTTTTTGTTTTTTCTTTTTGTGAGACGGAGTCTTGCTCTGTTGCCCAGGCTGGAGTGCGGTGATGTGATCTCAACTCACCACACACAACCTCTGCCTCCCGGGTTCAAGTGATTCTCTTGCCTCAGCCTCTCGAGTAGCTGGCATTACAGGTACGCACCACTGCGCCCGGCTAGTTTTTTTATTTTTCTTAGTAGAGACAGGGTTTTGCCTTGTTGGCCAGGCTGGTCTTGAACACCTGACCTCGTCATCCACCCGCCTTGGCGTCTCAAAGTGCTGGGATTACAGGCATGAGCCACCGTGCCCAGCCCATAATGTTTTAAGAAAGTTTATGAATTTGTGTTGGGACTCATGCAAAGCCATCCTGGGCTGCATACAGCCCACGGGCCATGGGTTGGACAAGCTTGTTTTGTGCCACTAAATAGTTATTTGTAATTTGTGCTGGAAAGTCAGGGTTTGACAGGTGGACGGCACTGTCTCTGAATGGAAAGGTCCACGTGTGGGGATGAGGAAGCCTCACTCATGAGCACCCATCACAGAGCTCCCGTGCCTCCAGCAGTGGGGAGGGCAGGCCTGACGCTGCCACTTCAACATTTTATCTGGAATGGGTTTTTTTTTGAGACGGAATTTCGCTCTCGTTGCTCAGGCTGGAGTGTGATGGCACAATCTCAGCTCACTGCAACCTGTGCCTCCCAGGTTCAAGCGATTCTTCTGCCTCAGCCTCCCAAGTAGCTGGGGTTACAGGCACTTGCCACCACGCCTGGCTAATTTTTGTATTTTTAGTAGACGTGGGGTTTCACCATGTTGGCCAGGCTAGTGTTGAACCCCTGACCTCAGGTGATCCGCCTGCCTTGGCCTCCCAAAGTGCTGGGATTACAGGCATGAGCCTCTGTACCCGGCCTTTTAGCTGGAATTAAAAAAAAAAAAAAATCAAATATAGCCCAGCTGAAGCCATTAAGGGGATTGTTGCCAGTTTTAACCATGGGAAATCTGCATTCGTGTGTATGTAATGAGCTCTGCAGAGATTCAGCAAGGCAGAAGAGCAGATGCCCTTGGCTGTCAAGGGCACAGTGTCCAGTGGAAGCCAGCCGAGTGGCTGCAGGGTCTTGGACTCACGGCCGTGGCCCCAACTTGTTGTTGGCCATGCTGCCCTGAGCCCAAACCCCATTCCTCCAGCCTATCCCTGTTTCTAGTAGCTCTCTCTCAGGCTTTCTTCAGTCTCCCTAACTTCCTTTTAAAGTGTTAAATATAGCACAGCACAGAAGTGTATGAAAGGGAGAAGAATATGTAAGTTGGACAGTAAATAACAATGTCATTGACTCCTAGGGAGCTCAGAAATAGGTCTGTGCTGTGCCCGGATGGTGCCTCCGTGCCTGGGGATCTGGAAGGGTGGAGCCAGACCCAGAGCAGCCGCTTCCCCGCAGGCCTCTCCCGACACTGTAAGGCCGCCGGTGCCACAGGCAGCGCCGAAAGGGGCTTGTGTTTCGGTGACATTTCCCTGAAGTCCAGGCATGGGGGTTTTGTAAATGAGGGCTTTGCCTGCCTTGTTCTCTAGTGTCAGCCTAACATTCACGTGAGCCAGATCGGCCTGGCCAGACCCAAGGCAGCTCAGTCAGCTGTTCTGCATCAGAGGGCAGATTCCAAAGCCGGACCTGTGTCCCGCCGTGGCCGAGTGAGCGAGGGTTGCTGGTGTCTTTGGGATACTCGGGAGCAGCCCGCCATCACCACGTCCCTAGGGAACTCTTCGGAGCACGGCCGGCAGTGTGGAAGCCCCCAGAAACGCAGCCTCGGAGTCTCGCAAGGAAGCTGGGGGTGTGGTGAGACGGGAGGGGCGGCCAGGTGCCCAGGACAGGGTGAAGCGGCACTGGCGGGGCAGGCTGGGAAAAGCACAGAGGTGGCTGCGCATTCCCACCTCAGCGGGACCCAGCCTGACCAGCGGGACCCAGCCTGACCAGCGGGATGAGGTGTGTGGGCTTTCGGGGGCAGGGGTGGGGCAGGTTGTAAATTTGATTTTGCCCGATGCTTCCTCAGAGATCTGTATCATGGTCATTTCATAGAAACGGCAAACTCTGTCCCAGCTCAAAAAGATGCTATTAGACTAATCCTTTGATCTCCTTATGCGTGCGGCTCAGCTTTCAGCTAAATCTGCTTGATTTTATGAGGGTTTTCTCTTATTTCTGTTGCTTCCTCAAGGGAGAGTAATCCAGTCTAATTTACATTTCTCTTACTTTTAAGCTGAGCTGCTGCACCCTCACGGGACACAGTCATGGGGAGCCCTCTGCCCCATGGTGGGCGTCGGTGACGCCACAGTGGTCCTGGGGGCAGACCTCAAGGGTGCGCAGCAGCAGCCTCCGGGCCCCGTCTATCCGAGCCCCGCCTGGCCCTGCCTGCCCTGTGTCGGGGGCTTTGTATTTCAGCCTCCATGCAGGGTGACGCTGGGGCTCCCCAGCGTCCAGTTCACAGCTTCAGGGTCCAGCAGGTTCTCCTGAAGCCCCGTCCACCACCGGCTTCCTGCTTACTCTCCCCTCTGTCTCTCCAGAGGGGCCAGGCCTATGGAACGAGGCGGCTGCTTCACCTGAACTCACCGCAGTGCCGGGAAAGGAGCCTCTGGGACAAGACCCAGGAGTGGATCTGCAAAGGGTACTCAGGGTTCTCCCAGCGGCTCTGAACCCCAAGGCCAAGTCGCCCTCCAGTCACCTGGCTCCTGAAGCAAGCGGAGGCCCCTGTGGCCACAGTCAGTTCAGGAGTGATGGTGACATGGAGTCGGCTCCAACGAGGCTCCTGGCAGGGTTCACATCCTCTGAGAATAAGTCATAAAGAAAGCACTCCCCATGAGATACACACTCCACCAGGCCGCCTCCAACCACAGCCTCAACTCCATCCTGGGTGTGTCTAGGTTTTCTTTTTTATTATTATTATTTTGTATCGTTCCAGACATATTCTCCCTCTGTCACCCAGGCTGGAGTGCAGTGGTGCGACCTCAGCTCACTGCAACCTCCACGTCCTAGGCTCAAGCGATCCTCCCACCTCAGCCTCTCTAGTAACTGAGAGGTGCATGCCACCATGCCCAGCTAATTTTTTGTTGTTGTTGTTGTTGAGACGGAGTCTCGCTCTGTCGCCCAGGCTGAAGTGCAGTGGCCAGATCTCAGCTCACTGCAAGCTCCGCCTCCCGGGTTCACGCCATTCTCCTGCCTCAGCCTCCCAAGTAGCTGGCACTACAGGTGCCCGCCACCTCGCCCAGCTAGTTTTTTGTATTTTTTTTTTTTTAGTAGAGACGAGGTTTCACTGTGTTAGCCAGGACGGTCTTGATCTCCTGACCTCGTGATCCGCCCGTCTCGGCCTCCCAAAGTGCTGGGACTACAGGCTTGAGCCACTGCGCCCGGCCTGCTAATTTTTTTTTATATATATAGACAGGGTTTTGCCATGTCACCCATGCTGGCCTTAAACTCTTGGGCTCAAGCGATGCTCCCGCCTCAGCCTCCCAAAGTGCTGGGATTACAGGTATAGCCACAATGCCTGGCCAGTATCTAGGTTTTCAAGTTAGACTTAGCTTTATTTGCAGAAAGAATAATGAATACATTATTAGCTTATTCTTTGATGGTTAAAAAATTAATAGGCATTGGCAGGCAGCGGTGGCTCACACCTGTAATCCCAGCATTTTGGGAGGTCGAGGTGAGCGGATCACGAGGTCAGGAGATGGAGACCATCCTGGCTAACACGGTGAAACCCCATGTCTACTAAAAATACAAAAACCTAGCCAGGCGAGGTGGCGGGCGTCTGTAGTCCCAGCTATTCGGGAGGTGGAGGCAGGAGAATGGCGTGAACCTGGGAGGCGGAGCTTTCAGTGAGCCAAGATCTGGCCACTGCACTCCAGCCTGGGCGACACAGCGAGACTCCATCTCAAAAAAAAAAAAAAGAAAAAAAAAATTAATAGGCATTTTATATGTGATCTTATGGTCTTACTCTTGGTTGGCTGTTTCTGAAGGAGTGGCTTTGTTATCTGTAATTTGTCTAATTTAAAAATCAATTACAATGAAACCAGCATATGTGATTCACAAGGCTTTTTTTCCACCTGGACCAAAGTACACCAGCTATTGTGTTGCCAGAGGTGTGTTCCCATTGTGTGATGTGCAGGTGGGGGCCCCTGCAGCAAGGAAGGCCGGCCCGGAAACCCCTTCGCAGTCTGTGCTGAGGGTGCTCTGCTGCAGTCTCCTCCTCTGCCCGCCCGCAGCCCAGAGAACTCTGAATGCCAGTGGCAGTGCCACTGCTCTGCAGCATGAGCTTCTCGGGGTGTCCGGGCAGGCCTGGGCACTTCTGCCCTCTGTGCCGTCCACAGTCCTGTGATTTCCTGACGGTTTCCTGAAAGTACAGAATGGACTCATCAATGTCCTTGGTAGCAGAAACGCGGTGTCTTGTCCTAACCTTCTGCAACGCAACTCACCTCTTCCACAGTAATGAATGGGTATTTTTTTATTTTATTTTTATTTTTTGAGACAGTCTCGCTCTGTCGTGCAGGCTGGAGTGCAATGGTGTGATCTCGGCTCACTGCAACCTCTGCCTCCCGGATTCAGGCAATTCTTCTGCCTCAGCCTCCCGAGTAGCTGGGACTACAGGCGCCTGCCGCCACGCCCAGCTAATGTTTGTATTTTTAGTAGAGATGGGGTTTCACCATGTTGGCCAGGCTGGTTTCGAACTCCTGACCTTATGATCCGCCCTCCTTGGCCTCCCAAAGTGCTGAAATTACAGGTGTGAGCCACTGCGCCCGGCCAATGAATGGTTATTTTTAAAAATAAACGTATTTCGGGATAATTTTAGGTTTACAGAAAAGTTGCAGAGTCAGCACAGAGGATCCCTTCTGCCACTCCGCAGCCTCCTTTCTGTAACTTCTGAGTCCACAGGGTGTGGCTGCTGTAGCTCAGAATCCAGCACTGGGTGTCACTGTGAACTCCAGACTTTGAATTTCACTATCAACATCCTGTTTCTGCTCCAGGACCTTGTCCCCGCTGCCACCTGTGGGAGATGGCCTCCCGTGCGCCATTTACCCAGCACCCTCAGGCCTGTGACGGTCTCTCAGTCTTTCCTTGTCTTCCGTGCCCTGCAGTTCTGAGGGGTCTGGCCAGGCAGTTTGTCCAGGTGCCCCAACCCAGGCTTGCCTTGTGCTTTCTGGTGGGGGTGGATGACAGGTTTCAGGGAGGAGTGCCGCCGCCTGTCTTACACCACTGTGGCGTCTCTGACATCCAAGTGACATTACAGACAGCTCTGACCTTCCTCACCAGAGTCAGGGTGTCTGCGGCTGTCTCCTTGGTAACAGGGCTGCTTCTCCCCTTGCACATTTAGTCAGGGGGCAAGTCCACGGCCGGGGGCTCCTCCTAGACAGGGGAGGACCAGAAGAGCTTGGGCTTGCATTTATTTATTTGATCATTTGTTTGTATCATGATGGGCTCATTTTATATATGTTTTAAACTCTGAGCTAGAATACAATACCTACTTTTTTTGTGATTCACACTATCTGTCCTTGGCCCTGGGGAGCTCCTGCAGTCAGCTCCTGGGTCCCCTGACGCACCCCCATCAACAGATTTTTCATTTTGGGCCACGTCCTGACTTCCTGGCACTGTAGGGTGCTCTAGGCTCCTCCTGCATTCCCTGCCCTGGCCCGGGAACCAGCCCCTTCTCCAAGGAGCCCAGATCCTTTTACTGGAGAGTCTTAGAGAGGGAGGCCTGGGTGCCAGGTGGGTCCGGTGCTGCTGGCATGTTGTCGCTTGGAGGCCGTCAGCTGCAGAGCAGGGATGAGGGTGTCACCTGTGTCACCCTCGTATGAACGTCTCCTCAGCCGTTTCTGTATCTGTGAAGAGAACATGAGTTCATGCTACTGCCTCTGACTCTTAATTCAGACCCCAAAACTCCTTCTAACCTTCCTAAAATGTTATTTTTTTGTTTTTTTTTTTAAAAAAAAGGTTGTGCAAAGGGCGTACTGCGAAAGGGCCGAGCGGTTGAAAGTCCCGGCTGAGGCCAAAGAGGTGCCCGCGAGGCAACAGGACAGGCTTTCCGTTCAGTTCAGGGGTGCTGTCCTCCAGGAACCATGCTGGGGGGCAAGTACAGGACGTCCTGGTGTGTGGTGCACAGGGACTGCTGGACGCGGAGCCTCGTGCCCTTCTCAGCGTGGGGGCACGCCGACCACGCTCCCGCCAGCCTCCCACCCCACCTGACCCAGGTCTCTGAGGGGCTGGACCCGGCCATCCACAGAGCAGCCCAGGATGTTAATAAAGCTACAGAAGCTGTGTTCTTCTTCGAGAAACTTCTGTGTGGTTACAGACTTTTCAAGAAATATTTTGTCATTTAAAGTAGAGGCACAGGCCAGGTGTGGTAGCTCATGCCTGTAATCCCAGCACTTTGGGAGGCCGACTCAGCTGGATCATTTGAGGTCAGGAGTTTGAGACCAGCCTGACCAATATGGTGAAATCCCATGTGTACTAAAAATACAAAAATATTAGCTGGGCGTGGTGGTGCGTGCCTGTAGTCCCAGCTGTAGGGAGGCTGAGGCACAAGGATCGCTTGAACCCAGGAAGAGGAGGTTGCAGTGAGCCGAGATCCTGCCACTGCACTCCAACCTGGGCAACAGAATGAGACTCCCATCTCAAAAATAAATAAACAAATAAATAAATAAATAAAAGGCTGGGCGCAGTGACTCAAGCTTGTAATCCCAGCACTTTGGGAGGCCGAGGCAGGTGGATCATGAGGTCAAGAGATCAAGACCATCCTGGCCAACATAGTGAAACCTTGTCTCTACTGGAAAAAAAAAAAAAAAAAGCCAGATGTGCTGGCAGGTGCCTGTAGTCCCAGCTACTCAGGAGGTTGAGGCAGGAGAATCACTTGAACCCAGGAGGCGGAGGTTGCAGTGAGCCAAGATCGTGCCACTGCACCCCAGGCTGGCAACAGAGTGAGACTCCGTCTCAAAAAATAAATAAATAAATAAAGTAGAGGCAGGGGACAACCTAAATTAGTACCAAAATGCCTCCTGTTTTCTGAAGTGAGTGAATGTTGGAGCTCTGAATGCCTTACAACTGGAAAAATGCTAAAGATCACGTTTGCGAAGAAGGGAGGCAAGCATCAGAACAGAGCCTCAGAGCAGGGCTGCGCGCGCAGGAACCGCGAGGCCGCGCTGGGGTCGTTTCCGGAGCTGCTTGCAGACGCTGCCACTCACCCACTGGCCACGGCCTCTCCCGCAGTGCCTGCGGATGATCTGGGCGCGCGTACCGGGCGTGCGGGTCCCGGCGCCGAGGCCTCTCCTAGGCCCGGTGGCCTTCTCCATCTCCGAGAGCATTGACGGCGGAACTCACAACTGTCAAGCACCTTAGTCATGCCACAAACGTTAATCATTGACAGCATGTTGATCTATGCGCTGATTAGAAAGAAAAGCTGCAATAATGTAATTCCAGGAGAAAGTACACAAACCTCTGGTGTCATCTTTCTTTTTTCTTTTTTTTTTGAGATGGAGTCTCGCTCTGTCGCCCAGGCTGGAGTGCAGTGGCCGGATCTCAGCTCACTGCAAGCTCTGCCTCCTGGGTTCAAGGGATTCTCCTGCCTCAGCCTCCCGAGTAGCTGGGACTACAGACGCCCGCCACCACACCCGGCTTATTTTTTGTATTTTTAGTAGAGACGGGGTTTCACCGTGTTAGCCAGGATAGTCTCGATCTCCTGGTCTCGTGATTTGCCTGCCTCGGCCTCCCAGAGTGCTGGGATTACAGGCGTGAGCCACCGCCCACCGCGCCCAGCCCCATGTCATCTTTTTAATCCACCACAGAAGCCGGCTCGGGTGGGGGGTGGGGATGTCGGCTGTGGTGCCGCCGCGGCAGTTTGGGACACACGCCTGCCACGGTGCACCCAGGCTG